AGACAGCAAAACGTGGCAATCTGGAGAGCCCTGCCGCCAGCCAAGGCGTGCCCATTTTCAGGATACTCCCTTAAATCCGCTTTCTCCCCCCCAGTTTTCGGTTCCTTCCCCCTATAGACAAGCGACGGGATTCCGCGGGCAGCCTCCGCAAGGCTGCTTTCGGGAGCTCCGTCTCCCGTTGGGTCTGCAACCTTTGGCAGATCATTCCAAAGACCTTGTTATTTAAAGACCTTGTTATTTAAACATCATTTCAATTGTTAAAACATATGACCTGGCCTGGGCAACTTCTTCTTCCTTCTCTTTCTCCTCCTATATTTTTATTTTATACTGATAATTTTAATTTTGTATTTGTAAATCAATGTATTTTTTGTATTGTTATATTTAATGGTAATTTGTTATGTACTATTGTATTTCAATGTATTTTATCATGTTGTAAGCCGCCCCGAGGTTTCGGCAAGGGGCGGCATAGAAATGCTATAATAATAATAATAATAATAATAATAATAATAATAATAATAATAATTCCAAGCAGGACAAGCAGCGATGCTCAGTCCGTCCCAAGCGACAGTCCATTTTACCGAGGCCAATGAAGTTGCTTTGGCCCCAGATACAGAAAATGAAATGCACAAGCACTTCAGCTCGGAGGGAAAGGCAGTAGCCTTACTTAGTGGTCCAACAGAAATGCCGGCAGCCAGCACTGGAATCAGGCCTTTTTCTCTGAACATGCATAGAATTGCATAGTACGTCATGGTTTGTACGTCAAACTCTGCCTTGTAAATAGAGTTCCTTCAAGCCTTCCGGTGCCTACATCCACAAGGGTCCCTGTTGAAGAATGTGTTGCATGGAAAGAGAAAGCCACTTAATTCGCCTCTCGGCTCGTTCTTCTAGTGAAGGATATTCTGTCTTCCATGAAGTACATTCTCAAGTGGCCCCTGCACCAGATGAAAACCGATGGGAAACTCTTGCAATTGTGAACGATTTTGCATAACTTGGCTCTGTTATCAATTCAAATGGAGACTTCAGCCAAAAAACAAACAAACATCTGAGAAGACTGAGATACGGAAGGGCAGCAAGGAAGGACTCAAAAAGACCATCCAGTGCAAGGACACGTCACTGGAGCCATAATCTTCCGCACTATTGTATTCTTTATCACCATGCATGGGAGGGGAAAGCTGAACAGGAAGGAAGCCCACAGGGAGAAAACGGATGGCTCAGATACAGTGCAGGAAGAGAGCTTTGCAAATACCTTGGACCAGTGATGGCGAACCTTTTAGAGACCGAGCGCCCAAACTGCAACCCAAAACCCACTTCTTTATCGCAAAGTGCCAACACTGTAAAAAAATCTGAAAACGGAGGTTTTAGTTTAGAAAAAACACCTCACAGCCAGTCCAAGCATATATATATATATATGCATGCGCGCCTGGCAGCACACTGACCGGCCATGCGACAGCTTGGATGAGTTGCGGCTTGTGCCGTCATCGCCTGGCACCACTACTCCTCTCCGAGCATGCGCATGGCCCCTATGTCTGCTGTTATCCGATGCTCGGCTGCTGGGGCGATGCTGGGGCGGCTTGGCTCGCGTGCCGAGAGAGGGCCCTCCGTGCCAGCTGTGGCACGTGTGCCAGAGGTTCGCCACCACTGCCCTAGACCAAAAACGACAAAAACGGTCCTACATCAGATCAGCTAGAACTTGCCCTGGAAGCAGAAATGAGACAATCATGCTAGAGAAAGTTGAAAGCGGCAGAAAGGGCTTGGAGGAAGGGTGGGGGATACACAGTATGCTAGAGGCACATGAGAACAAAACAATAGAGATGAACAATAGAGACAAACACAATGCAAAAGCAATGGACTTTCAGGAAAGGTGAACGATTGGCATATCTAAGAGGGTACCTGAGGTGGCAGGCAAACCTTAGCAACCCTTAAGGTGTACCTGGGAAGCAAGACCATCCTTAAGTCTAAAACTTACAGTGTCAGGCTTTTAGCAGCCTTATCAAGGCAATACTTTTGCTCACCAGCAACCCCTGCAAAACAGACAGATCTGATCGCAGCAAAACTGCCTAGTTTCTGCCTGCGATTCAACTTTTCCGTGCATCCATGAAATAGACTCCCCGGCTCACACCAAATCTTTATGAGAAACCGGTCCGATTTTAAGAGGCTGAGATGATGCTCTTTGTTGAGCGTACAAGACTAGAAGCAGGACTTGCCCTCTGGGATCTGTCACCAAGGCGAAGAAAGAAGGAGCAGCCTCGCCAGCCCCACCTTCTCCCGGTGAACCAGGAGCAGTTGCCGCACTGCTTAAAAGGGCAACGCTGTGGAGCAGGAAGGAGAATGAAATGAGGCCAGGGCAGCGGGCGCGCCAGTTTTCGGCACCCTGGGGCCTGGAATTTGTCATCATGGCATTAACATTTATTAGCTGCTTTTCTAAAAACAAAGGAAAAAGGCTCGGAGCGATTTGGAATAGAATTAAAACATAGAATATGTCTCTGTAAAACATGGGTGATGGCCATAAACTTTGATGCATTCAGTGGCCCATGATATACCATCAAATAGCGGGGAATGGGAAAGATTTAACCTGGATCTGGAAATATAAGAGTGTTTGTGCCACATGGGCCTTGCTAGGAATTTTATTTTGGGGGGGGGGGGGTTGCTTTGCTTTGCTTTTACGAAGAAGCTTCTGAACTTCCCTCCAAGCTGAGCTTCAAAGGGGGTTTCAGTTGTAGATAAGGTAGACAGGGTCATAATTTCAGGAAGGGCATTCTATAGAGCATGTACAGAGTGTGCCTCCCTCTGAATCATTGCTGCTGTTTCAGCCGCTGCTTTTAAGACTGCTCTTCCCCACTTAACATCCTCCTTTCACTCTCCTTTTCAAAATGTGTGGGGAAAGTCACAAAAGCAGCCATTTTACAGGCAGGAAAACAGGTGGGAAAAGAGCAAACTTCCCCAGTTGAAATCCAAAACGTCTGGAGGGCACCAGGTTGGGGAACCTCAAGAGCAAATGCTGTAAAATTCTATCAGATTTCCTTCTGCATCAATCAGATTGCAACTAATTCCAGTTTCTTCCCTTTCCCGCTATTCAATCTGGAATTATTTTCATTAAAATAGACCCAGGGTGTGATATATGTACAGGGAAAGTAGACAAATGTTTTCTTATGTAAAATGTTGCTATTCCGTGTTGTCTTAAAAAGTCTAAAAAGGCGAACAAGTAGAACAATACCTACTGAAATAAATTGTTCAAAATTATCACTACCACCACAAAATGCAATTAAAGAATGTTAAGGTCGTGCATTGAAGGTTTGTGCTCTTGAAAACTTCACGAATGACACCTTAACAATTTTCAAAACTTTCCTGAAAATTAGAATTATTCTATTCCATCCAGTGTATTTACAAACAAAGCCCATTTAAAGCTCTATACAAGAGCTTTCTTTACCCGATAGTACGCTACCTAGACAGGTGTGTTCAGGTACCTGCACCCCCCCATTCAGCCCTTTTAATTGGTTGACGGACTGTGGGTGGGTCTTGGCAGGCCCAGGTCCAGGATACCAAGATCCTGTACGGAAGGGAGAACGAAGGCTTCCTTGTTCTGATGGGGCTGAACACAACCCTGTTGTCCTGCACAGAGACGGACACCGCAGTAAACACACCCGTTTGAAATCAAGCAGGAAAAAAAGGTAAGATTTGGGACAATCGGGGCCTCCCGTGCCAGAGATCAAGTTCCTTCAGAAGAGAAACTGGCAGCAAAATTCGCAGAGAATCTGCGCGCCCCTTTCAAGGGAAAGACATTTTATTTTCGTGTAAGCCTCCCTGTAGGTTAAGAGTTGAGAGAAGAGCTATTGATTTGCACTCCAGGTGCATATGGGATTCTTCTGAAAGCGCTTGTGATGCACACAACAACCCTGTGGGGAAGGTTAAACTGAGAGACAAGGACAGGCTGACGTGCGCGCCATAATTTGAACCCAGCTTTGCCCGTGGCATCCACCAGTTTGCCGGCTCTGTGCAAACTCCACGACGGCACGTCTCGCCTCAGGCTACAGCCAAAACCCTCTTGCAGCCAACCGGGCACACGTTTCAGACAAACTCCGCATAACAGTGTTCTGCACTGCGGAACCTTGCTTAACACATCATGAAAAACAGTTATCATAGCAACTGGTAGCATCTGCCACGGCCTGAGCAGGCGGAGAACTTTCTCCCTCAAAGTAGAACTTTCCATTGGGTCGCTCCCCCTCCACCCCAGCTGCAAGTCTCTCCAAGTGTTTTGCGACCTCGCGTTGCTCTTCTAATCGGGTGGCTAACCCTCGGCCCCTCTATTCCCAGCGCCTCCTCTTCCTTGATGCGACAGATACAGACTGTCCGTCTGTGGCTGCTTGGTTCTCCGTTTCCCTTCCTATTTCCTCCTGGTCCCACACTCCAGATGGGTCCCCGTGCTTTCTTGGGGTGCGCCTGCAGAGGAGGGGCTCGGCCCTGCCATCCCCTGACACAACCACCCCACCCCAGGGGCCTGAATGTCCTCCATGATTCTCAGGGGGGAAAGCCAGAGATGCTGCACAGGTTATTCTGCACATCTGCACCCTGGGAATTGGGCAGAGCGGCCCCGTGGATTGCGTGGAGGCGCACCTGCCGCCACATGGAAATCCACAGGTGTGCAGACAACTCGGATCGTGGCAGTCCCGCACACACCACGACACACAATGCCGTTTGCCATCTACCAGCGACGGGAGCGTACACTGGGGAAACACGCCGTGGCTTGTGTGCTTTCGCCTCTGGCCAAGGCGAAGAGATCAGACCTAAAGCTCTGGTGGTTTCCTGGACACTGTGCCATTTTCTCCCCAGGCTAAAAGGTTGAAATCCGTCACGTAAGGCAGGCAGCGGCTTAAACTGAAAAATGCTGCGTGCGCATATATATTCTTCATCCGTCCATTTGGGCTTCGGCTCACCACAAGACATTCGAGCCAAAGGACTGGGATTCTCTTTGACCCTACGATGTTATTTATCTGCCTCAGGCTATGGATCTGAACAGCTCTAATCTCCTGGATGCCCTCTTCGAGGGACAGGAAGAATTGGTCCTCAACGGCTCCTTTGCTGCAGCAGACCCCAAACCCAATTTCTTGCTTCAAGACCACCCTTACGTCTGCATTTCAGACAAAGCCTGTGAGACTTGGACATCTGGCGGAGCTCAGGTTTGCTGATCCAAACAAAACTTTCCGTGCCATGTTTGTTTAAGCTGCCCCTGCAGTACCTTCAGGGTGATGCTCACAAAAACGTAAAAAAGCAAGCCACAGAGTGTTTCAGAATGGTGGGGGTGGTCCTAATTATTTGTTTATTAAAACAGGACGTTGGGGGGGGCAGAAGATTGGGAAAGAAAAGCAGCAATTGTCTGCAGACAGTGTTAGATATAATCCTTGCTGGAAGTGTATCAGTTTATGGGGAACTCAGTCAGAGAGTTGGAAAGCAGGCGCTGGGATAAATTGGTGGGGGAGAACCAGAAAAATATGGGCCCCTACAACAAGGTTGTGACAGCTTTGCTGCTAATACAACCGTGCAGAATTTTACTAGCACAAGGGCGCACCAGAGTCGTATAGAGTGGCAGTAATTCCTCTCTCGATCTGGAAGCCACACTTCTGGCTATGCAACCAAATATGGGTGACACAGCAACCCAACCGAGAAAGTTTCCTGTCCAACTATTCATCCTTAGCTCCTAGCAGGCCAGCACCCCAGGACAAACGAGTGCGCATGCATGCATGCACGGATTCACACACAAACCCCGGTCCCCGCAAAGCAGTGCCACTAACCGATCCACGATTCTGCCCCAGGGACTGAACGACGACGACCCTGAGGAGCTCTTTCAACTGCTGATCAACCCCAACGACATCTACGATTCCAGCAGCGCTGTTGCCTCTCCAGAGAGCGACAGCGGGATCTCCGACGACCCCTGCGTGGACACCCCGCTACAAAATGAGCCGAGTCCCCCAGCCGCATCCCCTCCCGTTATTTACGAGGTTATCTGCGACACGGGCATGGTGGAAGGCACAGGCCTGCCTGATCACGTGTTCTCCAGCGCCCAAGGTGAGCCAGGGGCACGGGGGGGAGGGGGGGCATTTGCTAACACCTTGCCCAGATTGCTGGTTGGCAGCCAGGATGGAGCCCCAGATCCCCCCCCACCCCCCCAGAGCCACACATGTCCACTGGTTTATTTCCTCAACCGGTTGCCATTCTTGGAGAACCTTCAGCTATTGGGCGGCATAAAAATCAATTAAATAAATACTGTGCTTGTGTTGGTGACCAGGAGCATTGTGTTGACTTGGGGCAAGGAGCTGGTGGTCTCCAGACCGTGCCCGTCCCATAATTCTCTCCCTTCTCCGACTGCCACTGTGTCTTCTCGTTCTTTCCCCATTCCTGCTTCCAGGGAACTGGGCACCCCCAGGCATCGTCCCTGAGGCCTGCGCGGCAAGCAGAGTATCGCTCCACTTGTTCGAGAATGCGGCTCAAGCTGACCCACCAGGGATTGCGAGGGAGCAGGTGAGCAGCCCAGAATTGATGGATGGAGGTGCCCAGTGGCTCAGGCTAGCCTGGGAAACCTTACAAATGCAGAAACAGAGCGAGGCAGAAGGGGTCTCCCGGGCCATCTAGTCTGACCCCCGGCTCCAGCTGGCTCTGCTCACGACATGCCCAATCTTGAGACCTCTCTGCACTCCCCAGCTATCTTAGGGGTCGGATGCTTTTATAGCAGCCAGGGGTTGTCACATGACCTCCAGCAGCCTATCGCTGTCAAAGGCCTTCCTCATTGGTCTGGCCTGCATCCCCTTAGACCCCCCCTTCCCACATCTGGGCACTAGCAGCACCAGGGCAGGTATAGTGAAGGTAACCCTGCAGCTTCAGCCGCCGATGGCAGACTGCATCAGCTGTGCAGGGGAAGAAGGAGCCCTCTGCTTGTGCTCAGAGGCCCTCTGCTCCAGCCAATCCATGGCAAAAGCCCATCTGGGTAGGACATGAGGGAAGCCCCAGTTCTGGCGACCCTAAAGCAGAAGGCCACCAAAAAGGGATCCGAAAAGGGCCGGCCCAGTTGTCGTGCCACAGAAAAACCTCCCGTCTTTTAGCCAATGGGCGCTGTATCTTCCCTGGGGCAGGGGACTCCGGAGCAGCTGTCTCTCCCACCGGGACTCTGCCTGACGGATGAAGAAAGACGGCTGCTGAGCCGGGAAGGGGTTTCGCTGCAGAACAATTCGCCTCTCACCAAGGTACGTCCTCCCGGAGCCGCCTGCAAAGTGGAAGGAATCAAGCCCAGTTGCAACACAGCTCGATTTCTTCCACTTCACCTTTTTTACTAATATCCTTTCTTGTAATGGTGAACCAATAAATGCCTACTTGAACTGCACTGAAGAAATTAATAATGATAGACAAAACATGGAGTCATTAAATACAAGAAGAAACAAATATGAAACCTTTCTACCTGAATATAGAAACACAGAAACAGAGCGAGGCAGAAGGGGCCTCCCGGGCCATCTAGTCTGACCTCCGGCACCAGCCGGCTCCGCTCATGACATGCCCACCATGTGCACGTCCAGCCTATCCTTGAACACCCGCACCGATGGGGCCTCAACCACCTCCCGTGGAAGCCCCTTCCACACCCCCGGGGTCCTGACTGTCAAGAAGTGCTTCCTGGCGTCCAAACTGAACCTGGGTTCCCTGAGCTTTGCTCCACTGGAACACGTCCTGCCCGTCACTTGAGGCAGCTAGTCAGAACAGGAGCAAGGATTTAGACTAAAACGGAATTAAACATAACATGAAAACAAAGGAATGAACACCACAATGAGAAATGCAGCGGGGGGGAAGAAAGGCACCCAGCTAAGTAACAACCATCCCGCCAGCTGTTTCTGTGCAAAAGACCTACCCAAATAAAAGTGAAAGGGAGACAAGCATCCCAAGCCTGGGGCCACCACGGAGAAGGCCACTGCTCCCGCACCGCAGCAGGACAGCAGAGAGAGCAGGATCCTGAGGCGGGTGGCCCAGCGGGCCACGGGGGTGTGATGGGAACAGACAGGCCTGGAAAACGAATCCCATCAGCACCACCCACCAATGGGCAGGGAGCATGGGAGTCGCTTTCAGAGACGCCCAGGAGGAGGGGCCCCAGGGAGGGGGTCTTGCCCCCAAACCCTGCAGCCCCCCGAGTCTCATCCCGCCCCTCACGCACAGGCAGAAGAGCGCATCCTGAAGAAAGTGCGGAGGAAAATCCGGAACAAGCAATCTGCTCAGGACAGCCGCCGGCGCAAGAAGGAGTACATCGACAGCCTGGAGAACCGGTGAGAGCCGGGGTGGGGAAGGGAGCGGAGGCTGGGGGGCTTCGGGGGCCCCAGGCAAGCCAGCTTTGCACCCTGCACAGGTCTCCCAGCCGCCCCCGAATCCCTCTTCCTGAACAGCCGGGATGAGGACCCTACCGTGCTGCAGAGGGGGTTGGACACCAATGGCCATCGTCCCCAGCTGGTGGCAGGTCGATGGGAGTTGCATTCAACGATATCTGGCGTTTCAGGCTGCTGGCCCTCGCCACGGGGGGACGAAATCGACCCGCTTTCCTTTTGCTTTTCCCTTGGCAGGGTGACAGCCTGTTCGGCGCAGAACCAGGAGCTGCGGAGGAAAGTCCAGGAGCTGCAGATCCACAACGTGTGAGTTTATCGCCGCCCCTTCCTCTCCCGCCGGCCGAGGGGACCCAGGAGTCCGAGCTCCGCTGCCCCGTTCTCTGCTGAGCTGCATGGAAAGGCTTGGCTCAAATGTGGGAATGCCATACCTCACCCATAGGTGCCCCATTCAGAACCCCGAACACCAGCTCTGCACAGCAAGGAAGTCCTGGGAAGCCCCCAGGCCGCAGCACAGAGCAGCCCCCTCTCCCTTCTGCATCTGGCAGGCAGAGCTAGATTAAACCCGTTATGCACACAAAGTGCCTCTGAGCATGAGCAGACAGCCCTCCCCACCAAAGCGCTGGGGTCCTGTCAACACTGTCCAATGGTGAGAGGTTTAGCCAGTGCAACTTTCTCCCATTTCTGCAGCTCCAGGACAACGAAACGCTTCCCCTGTCAAATTGTTTTTTGAACATCAAGTGAGGAGCACAAACCAGAAAGGGCTGGCCCATAACGGATGGTGTGGGGACAGGGGATCTGGGCACTTTCCTCCACTCCAGGAGACTTCAAACCCTACCTTGCATTTTCAGCTTCTTTCCCTTTCCTTTTAAAAATAAGTTTCTAGTCCTTATGGAAGCAGAAACGCCAGATACAGTTTGCCGACGTTTCTTCCTGCAGGTCGCTGCTGGATCAGCTACGAACACTGCAAGGACTCATCAAGCGAACATCCACCAAGGCAGCCCAGACTACCGCCTGCCTCATGGTGCGTGTGGAAATGGCGAGGGGGGGGGAGGGGACCCGGAGCCCAGAGGAAGCTAAATGCCGGTAGACCCCTGGGTAAGATGGCCGGGCATCCAACTTTACAGGAGTAGAGAGAGAGAGAGTAGTGGGGAAACAAGCAGCCTTCCATATCTTGCCGGACTTCAACTCCCATCAGTTCCCAGCCAGCTTGCCCAGGGGCCTGTTCAAGCCCATCATCTCTGGAAGGGCCGCCAGTTCATGGGCAAGCAGGGACGGGAACCCAGTACCCTTCGGACCAGTGACTCCACGTGGCCCGTGCCTTCTTCCGCATTAATAAACCCGCTCTCTGATCCTTCCTTGGCCAGATACTCATCTTCTCCCTTGGACTCCTGATCTTGCCCAGTTACAGCTCCTTATTAAGTGGAACCCAACTCAGCCGGGATGGCTACAAACCCTCCAGAGGTAACGACCGGGCAGGTGGGAGACCAGAGAGTCATGAATGCAGGGGGAGGAGGGGGCGGCAGAAGGAGAGGGAATAAGCAGGCGGGTGGTTTTCCATAAGAAAACAACCAAAACTAAATAGAACCCCCATGGACAGAAGCAGTCTACCCTGGGATACCAGAATACAGCCAAAAAAAAAAAAAAGTACAGCAAACGCCCCATCGCTTTCAGATGCTCGGGTGTCCTGCATCCGAGGTGCCCGTTATGCCCCACGGCTTTTATTCTGAGCTGGAGGGGAGCTATCTGTGGTGCGGAATTTAATCCCCACACCAGGCTCGCCACCCTGAAGCACCACAGATCGCCTGAGCAATATTCCAAGGCGGAGCACCTGGGCCATGCCAAGCCCTGTCGCTGTCGCACACTTTCTCCCATCCGTTCCAGCGGAACTGGACTAGAGCAGGAGGGGTGGGAACATGGTGCCTTCCAGCCTTGTTGGACTACAACTCCCACCAGCCCCAGCCAGCGTGGCCAGTTGGCCGGCGACGACCTCGTACCACGCCTTTCCTTCTCCTTCAGTGATCTCCCGGCACATCCTGACCCAAGGAGGTCTCTCTGGACCTGAGGAGCTCCCTGCCGCTGCCGATCCGGAATTGCCTCGGGTTCAAGTAGAGCTGATGCCGGAGGACCCCGACACCAGGGGAGCCCCCCTTGATCCTGCGGGGAAGCCCACGACAAACGCCTCCGATCCAGAGCCACCGAGGATCTCCCAGGAGGAGCCGAAGCAAGGCTTGGTGGCGAAATCCACGCGGCCCGAACCGGACAAAGATCCGGGGAAGCCGATGCACATGGATGAGATGTGACAGGCCTGGGGGCTGAATCCGATTCTGCCAGAGAAGCTGCAGGGCTCCACGTGCCCCATGGGGCCTGTTCTCCTCTCCTGGGGGGCACAGCTTCCTGGCCGCAGCCTCTCTCCCCTCCAGGCTGACGCAAGCAGCTAGTCCTCAAGCCCTAGACAGCCCATTGAGGAGGCTGTTAGCTTTTCAAAATTACAATGAAGATGATTCAGGATGTTAGACCTGGCCCCCAAACAACCTTTTTGTGTTGGACCGCCGTGGCGGCCGAGGCCTGGAATACGTGAGGGAAGCGATAACGGCTGCCCTTGAGCATATACGAAGTGTTACACCACACTACCAACAAGGCGAGATTGTGCAGGAAGGCTTAGAAAAAAGCAGGGGCAGAAACAGCCACGAGCCACAGTTCCCCACTTCTCCTCTCTGCTTTCTCCATATTTTAATTAAACCTCTGATAGTTCAGAGGCTGCAATTACAGATGCGAAGCCCTGCAGAAAACGTAATTAAGAAGGGTGCTTTCTGCCTTCTTCTGGCCAGCCAAGCTCCAGCGGCGACCGAGTGCCGCAATTTCCGAAGGAGCAATCAAAGTGCCTCTGAGCATAGGAAAGCTCATGTTTGCCCACTTTCCTGGGACTGGAACAAGCACAAGTCTGAGATGGAGAGATGTGTTTAACGGATTCGACCCTGCCTCCCGTTTCTCACTGCACCCCTTTAAAAAGTAGCTGGCCCTGGACTAATTAAAGGCCCTTCCGAATTCCGTTCTGTCTGTTCATATTTTATTGGCTTGGTAATTATTTTCCTGTTGCTTTGGGATTCCTGCAGTGATTCTTCAGGAATGCAAACATGCCCTGAAAGCATCTTTCAGACGGGCGCATAATAATAAATTAAATAAGGAAAGTAAGAGAGAAAAAGAGAGAGAGAGAGCGCGCGCGCAAGCGCAACAGGTAGAAATCCACCACCACCCCATAAATAGTGACGAGCACAGAACTGCTGTTGAAACTCCACTGCGAAAGGCACACACACAACCTCTGGCCAGAGAGAAGGTGGCAATCTGTGGCAGGCTTTGTTGCAAAAGCCCTCTGCACATGCCCAGAGGTTAAATCATAATAGATGCATTTTCCTGAGCCTTGCTCAGATTGATTCCCAGTGGGCTTCCTTTCCCCAGGGATGCAGCCCTTGGTGTTATCGCTTCTCTTCCCGGCACAGCATGCACGGGAGATGCAAAGGCAGCAGTGTTCGTCGCCGGAGGTGTGGGAGCGGGCGAGCCAGCGCGACCGCGTCAGAGATGAAGTCATGCCCAAGGGACCGTCGCTGAAGGCGAGCGCCAATATGCAGGCAGCCGTCTTTTTCAGAGAGCGTGAAGCGAAGGCCTGGTGCAGCCTCCTCCCTCTTGCCCCTCCAGGAGTGTTAGACTACAGGCCCCATCATTCCCAGCCAGCAGGGTCCCGCAAGAATATTAGAGCTGCGCAGAAATATCCTTGAACATTCTCAACCCCATTTCCGGGCTGAAAAAGCGGGGTGCCACCGATTTCCCCAGCCAGAGCAGAAACCTCCAACGCTTTCTCAAAGGAAGGCCTCACCACCGGCAGTGGAGGCCCCTCTCTCATCCCCGGAGCAGTTTTGGGGGGTTTGTGCTGCCCCGACAGGCAGCATGAGCAGAACCATGTCGCCAGGCTGGCCTCCGTTTTGCAGCTCCCGTGATGCTGCTGCAAAGGTGCCAGCGTCGTGTGCCGCTCGCACGGTACCCAAATCTTTCCTCCATCTTCCTGCAACTCTTTTTCCCCCATGAAGTTTTCTTCTTAGAGTTTTATCACACTCGTTTCTGGGGTGTTTCTGAGCTTACCTAGTAACTGCCAGGTGGACAGGTTTGCTTCCCAGCCCGCCCACGTTTCCTGATCTGAAATAGCCCTATCATGAGCCCAAAGTGAGAGAGGTGTTGCTGCCACTCTGTACGACTCTGGTGCACCCGCAACTGGAGTCTTGTGCTCAGTTCTGGGCCCCTCGTTGCAGGAAGGATATAGCCAGGTTGGAGTCAGCGCAGCACAGGGCCACAAGGTTGGTGGCCGGTTTGCAGGGGATGCTGCATGAGGCGAGACTGAGGGAACTGGGTCTCTTCAGCCTGGAGGAGAGGAGACTCAGAGGGGATCTGTTGGCGACATGCAGGTATGCGAGGGATGTCACACGGAGGTGGGGAGAGACCTGTTCTCCCCTGCAGAAGAAGGCAGGACGCGCTCCAACGGAGCAAAGCTCAGGGAACCCAGGTTCAGTTTGGATGCCAGAAAGCACTTGCTGACAGTCAGGACCCCGAGGGTGTGGAATGGGCTTCCACAGGAGAAGGTTGAGGCCCCATCGGTGAGGCTCTTCAAAGACTGGCTGGACATGCACATGGTGGGCATGTCGTGAGCGGAGCCGGCTGGAGCCGGGGGTCAGACTAGATGGCCCAGGAGGACCCTTCTGCCTCGCTCTGTTTCTATGTTTCTATCTCTCTCCCACTGGGCAGGCCTTGGGGGAAGCTCAGGCAGCAGTCACAGGCTGCCACAGAGATGGCCTTATAGTAAAAGCCGGCACTTCTACCCTCCTCAGTAGGTATGTAAAGGCCTGGGAAAAACCTGGGCAGATGAAGGAAAATATGTTTCTCCCCCTGCATGTTTCCATCTTATTTCCCCCTGCCCTTCACACCTCTATTGCTCGGTTACCACCTAAGTAAAGCACAAAACAGCCAAATCCAACCCATGAGAATTGCTCCAAAATTTTCTTCACCGCGGTATTTCTTTCCAAAACTATCCCTTGTCCGTCAGATGGAACAAGAGTGGTGGGGGGGAAAGCAGGAGAAATTCCCTGACTAACGATGTTTTCTGTTCTTAAACTGATGCTCGCCCTAATTGCAGCCATCTTACACCCCATCTGCGTGCCTAAAAGCATTTGCCTGAAAGCGAGTATTTGTGACGCTTCATCTTTTTCGTTTTTCAGACCTAACACTTGGGTACATTACTAAGTACTTCCGAAGATTCAGGGCACAAATTTGCACTTGCTGAGTTATACGGATCTAAGCAACTTTAGAAAGAATGACTCAGATTGATTTAAATTTCACAGCAGGCAAAGGCAGCCAATTAAGTTTTCTTCTCAAGGAAAATAAATGCCACAATTCATTTCCCCAAGCCAGTTGCAAAAGCGATTTCCTAAGCCCTGCAGAGGAAGATGGGTGGGGTGAGGCATTACTGCAGATGGGAAGGGGAGAGAGACCCCTGTTGCAAATTGCATTTTGTACCATGGCGTTGATGGACAGACAAGTATCCTCCCTTATTATTTTAGAAACATACATTTTTCTCCCAGTTTGTCCGTTGCCTGCTGTTTTCTCAATGGCAACCCACGGTGCCCCCACATCCCATAATTGCATCTGGCTTCAAAGAATGATCGTCTATGACGATGCGAGGACAGACTTGACGAAGACAGCAGGAATTAATAAAATGCTCTTTGCTTCTCACGATGAGCCGCAGGCTTCCGAGGGGGCCTCATTAGCTCCAGCTACAGAGGCCTTCTTTCAAGGAGTAGTTTGGAAATCAGTTTCAAGACGCTGGTCCATCAGATCGGCTTTGCGCCCGGAGACTGAATGAGACAAGGCTCAGACCGATCGGACACACCGGTGCCCACTGAGAGAGGCCCTGTAGCTCAGAGTGCTAGTTTTGCACGCAGAACCGCCAGCTTCTAAGTGTTTCAGATTTGGATTCCTATCAGCCCCAGCCGGCATGGCCCACGGTCAGCTGTGCTGGGAGCTGTAGTCCAAAACGGGGAGGGCCACGAGGCTGGGGAGAGCTGTGCCGAATCAGCTGGCCTGGAGTAGAACTGCATGTCGTGTCCCCAACTTTTTTCAGTGTGGAAAAATTAAAACAGGAAGGGAGTTGTATGGCCAGGTAGTCCGAGGATTTCCAGCGTATGAGGCTATGGGATGTATCCGCAGCCAGATGACCCTAGGCCCTGAGCCCATGGGGGTCTGTGCCTGCCAGTGCATTGGGTCCCTGAATTTTAGCAGGGCCTTTGTCCAATGAGAGAAATCTTAGTGCACTGAATGTAGTACTTACAGCTGATTAATCCCTTCGGTTGATTCATCTAATCAACACATTGGGGAAAACAGTCATTCCAAACCAGCAGCATACTGGGATGGCTATTTTTTTAAAGACGATGTATATATCTTTCACAGAAGGTGCCATTGAAAAGGAAACATCTGTCATTCCGTGAAAGGAAACAGCGGAAAAGAGGCACCCACTGCATCGAGGGAGCTGTGGCTTGTGGGGGTTTTTTTATGGGGTTCCTCCTTCCAGCAGGATGCTGCTAATCCTAATCCCCAGCGAGAAGCCCGGATTATGGTTCGGTCATTGCTTATGTAATCCTCCACATGTCAGAAGCATGATCCAGGGGAAGGGAGCAGAGCAGACAAAATACGCCAGGGAATTGTGTGGTACAGAGAGAAAGGCCCACAACACGCACACACCCTTCGGGTAAATACGGCAGAACCAACAGGTGGATTGATTTTTCATTTAGCTTTTGGTTTGAGAGGAAAGAAATCTACGAGAAGCACAGCAAGCTGGACCAAAAAATAGAGGAAGAGAAGCAAAAATTTATGTGCTGATTAAAGTGAGCAGGCGGCGGCAGGGGGGCGGGTGAGTCAGCCATAGATTATAAACAGACCATTAATATAAACTGAAAGCTTTCAGAAATATTAGCTCGATAACACTCTCTGAATTTTTATGCAGACATTTCCTTCAGGATAATTCCAATTGTCCCTCTACATCCCCTACTGACATTGCCTGCCTCCTTACAAAAGTCCTTTTCTGTGCATTTAGAAAATTAGTTTGAGAATATTGTCACGTACCACCTTTTTCCATGTCTGCCCTCAAACTACTGGGCGTATCGATTGATCTGTTCTGTTCACCCAGCGATCAACTCCTTTGACTCCAGCCAACAGCAGCGTCGCCTTCCTCTGAATCCTGTTGAGCAGTTAGCAAAATAGAAGTACAACCGGTTAAGCTTCCCCTCCACACACAGCGGCCTCTGCCATCTGTTTCAAGTTAGCAACAACTGAGCATTTGCGAAGGAGGCAGAAGCTCAACAGACTAAGCTTCCCCTCAGTACAGAGATGCAGTGATGAATGAAGCTTCACCTGTTTTATTTCTGCCTGCCAGCCAGCTCTTACTGTCACGAGGAACCCCACCCGAGAAAAGCAGAAGGTAGAAATCCTTTCTCGCTGCAAGAGAGCCAACTGATCTGGATTTCTCTTATTTAACAAGGACCTTTCTATCTGGTGGAAGAGGGAATGAATTCATAATAGCACGGGATGAATTTCTTTTAAAATGATTTAGGAAGCCTTGGAGGGAGCAGGCTGACAATAACGGAGAAGTGCTTCAGAAGACCCCAGACTCCATCCCAGGGAGAGGTGGAAAAAGTCCAGCCTGGATCCCTCGGAAGCGGCTGCGGGCCATCCCTCTGCCAACTTGGGGCCAGAGGGGACCGAGGAAGCCGACTCACGAGAAGGCCGCTCCCCACACAGGGAAGCCGGACTCCTGCGCTCGGCTGGGGAGCTGCACACCCGCAGCACCCCAAGTTGTGGTGCATCTCAGATAGAAGAAGGATCTGGACTTACAGACCCAAGTAAAATACGATGTCATTTGGACGCCACAACATAAACCACCGTTTAAACGCAAGCCACACTTGTTAAGGAAAGGAAAGGAAAGGAAAGGAAAGGAAAGGAAAGGAAAGGAAAGGAAAATAAATGAGGCAAGCATTGTCAAATGCTCTCGGAGACAAAACCGTTCAGCAGGAATGATTAATTCGAACAATAATGCAGCACATCAGGGGTCATTCAAGAGACGCTCGGAGAGATTGGACAAGCGGTGAGCTAATTCCCGGCATGTGTTGCCCACGGCGAGTGGGGGGCTGGGCCTCGTCCAGAGTGATGGCTCCCGCCCTCGCGCGCACCGTGGTGCGCTCAGTCCCCCCGCCTGCCACTCCGCCACTGTGGAGCAAGCCGCTCACACAGATCCCAGCGGCAGCCCCTCCGAAGCCCCCGCCCCTCCCGCCAGACACTGCCGGCGCCACTCTGCGCCCAAACTTCGGGCTGGCTCTGCGCACCTCTGCCGGCGCTCCATGCTCCCCGTGCCGGGTGGGCACGCGTCTGCAAGGAACCAGGGCTGGGGTGCCCCTTCCCGGCTGCCCCCACCGCTCCCCTCTGCAGCCTGTGTGAGCCGGGGGGGGGGGGGCGCCTCTCCAAGGAGCGATCGGGCGCCAGCACCGGGGACAGCTCTCACCCAGCTCGCTTGCTCGGGTCGCGGCCACCATGGACTGGGGCCACTTGGGCGCCACGGTGCTCCTGCTCTGCCTCGTGCTGGAGGCACAGAGAGGCACCGCTGCCGCCGCCGGCCGGGCACCCCAGGAATTCTCCTTCAAGCACTCCTACGAGAAGGAGCTGGTGAGTGACGCGGGTGTGCGGGTGCCCGCCCAGAGCCTCCTTGGCGGCCACGGGGTAGGTTAACTGGGGGGGGGGGGGCAGAAGCACCGAGAGCGCCCCGGGGGGCACGAGGCAGCCAGTTCCGGCACTCGTGGGGCAGAGGGGCGCAATGCCCCCAAATGCCCCACGGCTGCATCCACGGGCGCCCGCGGAGCATGCAGAAGGTGAACCGGGCTGAACGGGGCGCATGGCAAAGAGCAGGCGTGGGGGGTGGGGGGCTGCTTGGCAAGGCAAGAATCCAGATCAGGCTTCAGCCCCACTCGCCTTGCCCACCCTGATCGGCGACAGCTGCTTCCCGGGGTCTGGGGCCGGATCCGTTCTCCAGCCCTACCTGGAGATGCGAGAGGGAACGAAAGCCGCAACCTTCCGGCGAAGTCGGGGCTCGCTGCTGAGCTACCTCCATCCCCAGCATCCCCCCACAAGCTGGTGCTCCTCAGCTCCCATGAGCCCCACCTGAGTGGCCAATGGCCAGGAGCCCTGGAAACTGTCACCTGGAAGATCTGGAGGGTGTGTGGTTGGGGAAACCCGGGATGCATGCCGTGGGGAGAGGAGGAAGCACGCCACGTCCCTCCCTTCATTCCGGGCACTTGGTCCTTCAGCTCATGAAGTCTGACCTGTCCAGAGGCTGAGGGTGGCAGATGGATAGTGTGCTTGGAGGTGCGGCCAGTCCCTGGGATCTCAGAACAGGCAGTTGTTCTGCTGGGTTTTTGGTAAGATCGGGAGATGCTGCACCTTGAGCCTTGGAACTCCAGAAGGAGTCCAACTGCCAACTATCTGCCAGTGGCAGATTTCACCTCTGCTCCTCACAGCGGCTTTGTAGAACCTCACCATCAAGACGCAGTCTACCTTGTGAACCCCCGTCACTGGCGGGGACAGCTGCAGGAGGGAGCGGCCGTACTCACGACCTGCTTGAGGGCTTCCCGGGAGTATTGAAAGAGGGAAGCTGAGGAAGCTGGTAGATTTTGCCATCAACCCTGGCAGCTTCCACCAGGGAAGCCCCGATCCTGCGCTGTTTGGAGAAGGAGAAAGCCTGCCTTTAAAAGACCTCTCGTCCTGAAGACAGACAGACTCGCTTCTGCAGTTCTGCCTGCTCCAAGCTCAGCCGTCTAGTTCAGCTGGCAGAACGCAGGTCGCCCCCTCAGCTCTGCCTCCCTCATTTCCCCATTTCTCCTCTTCCAGCTGGATGAACTCCAGGAGGTCCTAGAGAAGCTGCAGCACAAGAAGGTCTCTACCTGGGAGAAGAAGTTTAACCAAGTCCCCAAGGTATGGGGCTTGCTGGGGCGGCGGGGGGGGGAGGGCGGGATGGTTTTTCAGCATGGACGGCCGAGCACAACCGCACAAGGGAGCCGAGCCTCTCTGCCCTCCAAGGTGGGTTCCACTTTTGCAAACACGGCCCGGCAGCCATGGGCCCTGGGCACAGAGACACTGGCAGCGAGCCTCCGTGCTCCGAGGCAGTGTAGCTTGGAATGCTGGACTGTGGGAACAAATGGCAGAGCCCCCAAAAAGATTGCCGAGCCGAGCCGAGCCGTTGTCATCCCTTCCACAAGTGCTGATGCAGCCAAGAGCCTTCCCCAACCGAGCGTTCTGACTACAACCCCAGCTCTCCAGCTACGGGCCATGCTGGCTGGGGCTGATGGGAATTGTATTTCGACACGGCCAGAAGGCCTGGGGGGACAGGGCTAAACCACTCAAAGTGCCAAAAGCTGCAGACAGTCATGATCTTGGGATGATCTCAGAAATCCTTCAGCGTACGGAACTGGGGGTAACGCCCTGCAATACCCGCCTCGAACTGTAGGGGGCGGAACTGCGCCACCTTCAGGGCACCGAGAAGCAGGGCAGGTGGCCCTGGGTCCAAGGCACTGGATCTCCCCAGGGCTGCCCTCCATGTGGGAGGAGCTCTCGGGCGCTGCCTCCAGCAGTGGGAGGGGCCGAGGGCTAAAAGGGGAGGGGCCAAAAGGCCAGCAGATCTCCCCTTCCCCGCCACTCACCCAGCTCAGCCTTTCACAGGAGGAGGAAACGAGACCCCACTCGGAAAACCGCCGCAGGAATGGCTGGTGGGGGCTGAAGGCGGGGCCAAGGAAAGGGGCGGGGCCTTCTGGAGAGCCCTGCAGGGCCAAAGTGTCCCGGAGGATTGGGGTGCCCCCTGCTGGCAGCCAGAGGTGGGGCATCCATGCCCCTCCACCCCTTGCTGGGCTTCCGTGGCCTCTCAGACCCAGTCAGCACCACGTGAGGTGGCTCCGCCCCTGCTCTAACCATTATCCGCCCTACCCAGCCGCCAGCAGGGGACTGTTCCCAGGGAGAAACGCGCCGGACAGGGAACTAACGTGCCGCCTCCTCTCCTCTCGCAGTGCTCCTTCGGCGACGCCTGCGCAGTCAGGAAGGGCGCCCGGATCGGCAAGCTCTGCGACTGCCCCCGCGGGTCCGCCTGCAACGCTTTCTTCCTCAAGTGCTTGTGAACCTGGACCGGGGAGCTGCGCTGCCCCCCCCCCCCCGCTCTGCTTTCCCCCCCCCCCCCCCCCCGCCCCCCCTCCCCCCCCCCCCCCCCCGGCGACCTCCCGCTTTCTGCTGTGTTGCAACGCCTCGGCCTCAAGGAGGTGGGCCGGGGCCGACCTGGGGAAAGGTATGAGCTCACTGGAACCAGGCCTCAGCAGGAATAAAAGAGAGCTTTTGAGCATGTGCAGAGTGCTTTTTTCCTACAGGTGGAGGGTGATCTTTTAGGGTAAAGGGAGGGGGTCACAGTAGGGCAGATGAACTCTTTCCCCCAGGACACGCCAATGGGAATTTGGCAATCCATGCAGAGTCACAAGGGCTTAAGAAAGCACACGGGGGGAGCCAGAAAGACCGTGGCTTCACCCCCACTGCATTTCGCAATTGTCTTCCATGCTGAACCAGCAGGGGGGACCGCAGAGGCGCAGCCGGGCCGGGGGAGGGGGTCCACACCATTCCGTCATCTCAGTGGCCCTGAGGGCGTTTTTGCACAAAGAATGTGAGCGGGCTTCCCACGAGGGCTTCTGATCAGCCACTGCCGCAGCTCCGTGCCGGATGAGACAGACCTGATCCAGCAGGGCTCTTACATTTGTTTGGAACAAAGCCTCCGAGGCCAGAGGCAGTCTACCTCCACGCAATCAACACTGGACTTTGGTCCCTCTCGACATGCCTGCTCTTGTGCTCCCTCCGTCTCAAGCATCCCAGGCAAAAAATTTAACGACACCGAGTGCCCTAAAGGTATCCTTTGGGAACTTGCCCATCTGCTTCCAGCCAGTGCCGGTAAACCCTGTCACCTGTTTCCGCTGAGGAGGGCTTAGTAAACCCACTGCAGATTCTCCCCAGCCACTCTGGCTTCCGGTAGATGCTCCATCCGAAGCGGGAACGGTGCTGGTTTCGAACCACCTCCTCTACCAAATAAGCGCAGCCGAACCCAGCGGCACGTGGGCCAGGAAGCCCCTAATTCCTAGAATGGAATTCCGAATCCCTAACTCCCTTTATCACCGTTAAGCACAGTGAGGCTCAGCAATGACAGGAGACCAACTGCCCTGAAGGTTCCCGCTTTCCTCAGAGGCTCCAACCCAGTTCCTGCGTCTTATTTTGAACCCTACGGTCTCTCTCTGCTTTTTCCGCCTTTGGCTAACTGGACCGGCACCGTCCAGCTCCCATCATCCTGGGCACACATGCTGAGAGGCACAAGCATGCAAAAAGCCTCTAGCTCCGACGGGAACCATTTTAATCAGAGCCATGCTCTGCACAAAGTCTCAGGGCAGGATGTTTTAAAGTCAAGGAAATAAATAGACGTCACGGAGCGCTGCCTGAAGAAAGCCGTATGCCCCATTTCGACCTGATCTGTTTTTCGGAAGAGAGACGAGCTTCAGGGGTCGTGCCATCAGAGCTTCGGATCAATTTCCTCCCTCGATGCGAGACTCTGAAGAGGCGTCCAGCGAGGCTGTTACTCTTTTAATCAGCAGTGATATGACTAAAGGTGCGGCGAGGTTTCCTTTGAGTCTAACACTGGCCAGAGCGCAGCCAGAATCAGCCACACCTCTGCCACCAGTCAACCAAAGCCGGGTATGAGACGCGGATGTCCGTGGTCTGGCATCGGTCCCTCGTGTGGTCTGCCGGAGAGCAGTACTGCCTAGCGGCCGGAGGCGGAGTGCTCAGAAGATCGTTTTCCAAGAAACGTGCGGTGCTCACTGTCTCCTTCACAGTCCAAGGAGGATGTGGGGCTGCTTAGATGGACTCGATCTGCTTGCGCACTTTCTCCAGGGCCTTGCGGTCCAGCATGCGCTGCCGACACACCACCAGGAGGGCGAAGACAGCCGCCACACCCAGCATGGCGCCCTCAAACTTCCAGAAGAGGTGCGCCTCCATGGCTGTCGAGCGGCAACTGCAAAGAGACGACCATGTCAGCACCGTACCTGGCACAGGTGTGCAAGAGCGAACCGTGTCTGAAGAGGTTGTGACAGGACGTGCCAAGGAGAACGGCGAGAGCCAGTGTGGCGTCGTGGTGAAGAGCCTGGGACTGGGACTCAGGTGATCCGGGTTCAAGTCCCCGCTCGGCCATGGAGCCAACCGGGTGACTTTGGGCCAGTCACAGACTCTCAGCCCCACCCACCTCACAGGGTTGTTGTTGTGGGGATAAGATGGAGGAGGAGAATGATGTCAGCTGCCTCGAGCCCCTTGTAGGAAAGAGGCAGGATATAAATCGGGGGGGGAAGGGGGGTCCTGATGTTCTGACACAGCCTTCCCGTGAGCTCAGTTTCCAGAGGCTGACACGAATGGCGGAGGTCTACTCGCATGTAGCTGCAGCACAGTCCAGAGCAGGCAAGTCAGGGCCAGAAAGGCCCTGTAACATTCATCCTACATCTGCTCATGGCGGACTCAGCGGCTGTTTGGCTGGGTAGCCAAACAAGATAGAAGAATGCCTCAGCAGATGTAAAAGAAATAGACCGATTTAGGGAACAAAGGGTTAGGGAGCAATGCCGTCCGTCCCACACTGGAAAAAAACCCCCTTCCGGCTGGGGAGGGCTTTGAATGCTTGGTAATTATGGAATAATGGGCAGGTGGCGGGGAGAGCAAAACGAAGCAGGGCATGGAGTGGAATAACTGGGAAGGACGTGGGGGGTTGGCCGGAACCCCAGACACCGTGCCGCTAAGCCGGGGAAATGAAAAGTATTATTATTATTATTATTATTATTATTATTATAACATTTCTATGCCGCCCCTTGCCGAAACCGTATCTCAGTGCCACAGGACTGTCGCAAAACATTAAGGCGAGACTAGCTCATGCTCTCATCTGCCCGCAACACAGCCAGCCTCGCCCCCCTTGCACAGAATTAGCGCACCGTTGTACAAAGGGAAACGCGTGTCCTGCCATGCGCTGGATCTGAGAGACCCCCCGCCAACCTCCTGCTGCCAGGCCCAGCCAAACACACTGCTGTGCTTTGCAAAAGGACCGAGCCAGCTTAAAAGACAAACGCCCCACAGTTCCCCCTGCCCCCATCGATGGCAGGGTACTGGGGTGGCAGGGAAGGGGGCGGCCGGCTGTTGCACCCACCTCTTGAATTCACCCTTCTTGGAAGCGCTGCAGTCGATCTGCTCAATGAAGCCCGTGGCGCCACACTCTGGCATCGTTTTCTGCAGCAAAGAGCGCACCGCTGTTAGAACGCCGCTGCCGTTTGGTTTCGCCTTCCTGATCACTTACAAGTGACGCTTGCCCTGCAGTTGGAAAGCAGGTGGCCAGCAGCTGCTGCCCAGTCTGGCCTCTTCTGTACGGCTCGAAGGCCCGCTTTGGCAATGTTAGATGGTTTGATTGAAAAGGTTGGGCACCACTTTTCAAATTAAAACAACAAGCAAAATCTCCGTGCATATGAACAGGGCAAGGGGACCCATCCTTCCTAGGGGAGGGCCACGGATCGGCAGAGCCCCCCGGAACAACCTCCGTCTAGGGCCAAAAGATGCCGCCAATCAGTGTTGACAAGACCGAGTGCTTCCTGTGTGCTGTTTAAATCAGCCTTGTAATATGAAACCATGTGGATTGGGAACTTGACTTTATTTTGAGCAGGAAGAGAATCATGAGGACTGGGAGTTTGACATTGTTTGGAGCAGAAAGCATTGCCCTCGGTGGTGCAGGGAATGCTTTGTGTACAAGAGATGCCAGGTTCAATATCTGGTATTTATTTATTTTAAACTTTTGTATACTGTCCCATCACCGACATCGTGAGACGGTTCACAATAACAGCAATAAAACAAGATAAATGAATGTAGCACAGCATCCAATAAATATAAAACCACAATTAAGACCATTAACAGTTAAAATAGTGGGAAAATAAAAAGGCTTTCACCTGGCGCCGAAAGGAAAAAAGTGTTGGTACCAGGAAAACCTCTCTCGGGAGCGTGTTCCACAATCAGGGTGCCACCGCAGAGAAGGCCCTGCTCCGGGTAGCCACCCTCCCAATCTCTTTCATGGAGGACTTCTGAAGAAGGACCTCTGCCTCAGATCTCAAGGGCACTTAGTATCTCCAGTTAGGGGTGCGAAAGACCGGAATAGCCAGTGCAGGACAGACTGAACTGGAGAAGACAGTGTCGATGGCTCTGCTTGTACAACACGCCATCAGAAACCAATAGTAAACATTCTCCAAAGTCCAACATTAGCTGCCATGGGGAGCACCCCTAACGATTGCACCCTCACGCCTCTTCACCATCCTTGGATGATACACCTGGCCGAGGAGCAAAAGAAGGTGGGCCCTTCAAAGACGTATCCACTTCATTCTTGTTTACTTTGTGTCTTGAAGCGCCGACAGTATTCAAACTGTCATGCACGAGCCATACGAACGGAAACATTCCAAAGCTGTCAAGAATCTATTTCGTCTATGGATTTTTAAGACACGGGGCTAAGCTGAGCAGTGGGGGGCTGCATAAAGGTGGGAGTCCTCAGCACGCATCCAAACAGGATCAGCTCACCTTTGGGGGAAGAGCATATGGGAGGCACCAATACACTAAATGTCCGGCTCCAGACCACCACGGGGAGTGCACGGCACTGCCGACAGCGCCTCAGCCCCAAGGAACAAACGGGCTCCTGGGAAGAAGGCCTTCTCTCGGATAACCAAGTCCCAAGCTGCTTGTGCCTTGATGGATGAGCAAAAAAGAAACGCTTCCAGGGCGATTCTGTGCGCATTTGGACAGAAAAAAGGGCCGGCAACTCCCAGCGTGCCTCAGCGGGGGCTGTGGGACCTTCCTTCCAGCGGGTTGCAGCATGCTGAGAGTCGCCGGACTTCTTCCTGTCTATGCATGCCCAGGATGGCCTGAGAGCAACTGGGCAGCCAGTGCAGCCCTGGCAGCTCAGGTGGGATGAACCCCTGACCCCCTGAGCAACCTGGCCAGAAGCATCTGCACCTATCGCACCTTCCGGGGCAGCCGTCAAGGGACCCTGCTTCCTGCACTATGTCGGCCAACGGTGACAAAACAGCAACTCTCGTGCGGATGTAACAGGTCCTCACCCCAAAGAGCAGCAGAAAGAAAGAGCAGCTGCAGAGAACTCGCTTCACCCTTTCCGGCCGGAAGAAAAATGCTGCTCCAAGGGGAAGCTCCCTGGATGGCAGACTCCAACTTCACCCATCAGCCAACTGGGAGGCTGCTTTCTAGAAGCCCAGCATGCCTGAGGGAGACCCAGGTAGCCCCCTCCACCAAGCAGAGAAGGGAAACCTACCAGAAGTTCCTTTTGCCTTTCCTTGCATGGAGGGATAGCTGTAAGAACTTTGCAACTTAAGAGCGGGTGCCTGTGTTTGCTTTTTTCATCCTCCCACCCAAATCCTTTTCCTTTTATGTGGTGCCTTCTAGATGAAAAGTCTCAAGACACAGAGTGCCCCATGATTCACCTTTGAAAAGCAGACTAAAAATGCTGGAAATACGTAAAGAGGGGTTGATGCCACGAGTGGAGAACCCCGCTTTGACTGCACTTCCAAGGCCTGCAAACAGCGAGAGGCAACCGGCCCTCCACCCAGCATCTCCGGAAACACACCGCCATCCGCGGAAAGGAGTCACTCACCATCTGGAAACTGGTGCAAGGGGCGCACTGGACCGCCACCACAAAGTCCCCAGTCTGCCAACAGGGTGTGGCACCAGGCAAGCTCACTGTGAGAAGCCAAAAGCACATGAAAAGCACTGGAGCCGTTTGGAACCTGCATCGCTTATCTCTCCCCACACTGGCGACCCAGGGAGAACTGCTCAAAGCCAAAGCATAACCCACCCCACCCCTCCAAAAAATCGAACAGAACCATCCTCCTACCTGGGCTCTTTCCATCATTCTCCAGAGCTACTTCAGCCAACCTACAAGCCAAAGAGAAAACTGTATTAGTGCTGCTGTTGTTGTTATTTTGCAAATCTTAGAACCATAGAATAGTAAACTTGGAAGGGGCCAAGAAGGCCATTGGGTCCTACTCCCTGCTGTTGTAGGGCACCAATTTACACCATCTCACTCAGATGATAGTCTTACTACTAACGATCACAAAAATATTAGCTGCAATAAGGGGAATTGAAGTAAAATGAGGGATCTAATGTGCAGCAAGAGACGAGTGCTATTTATGCCTGGTGTGGAGAAAATAGACACACATCGGTCATCCTATGAAACTGTTTCGGTGATAGTAGGAAATTCTGGACAAAAGAAAGGGCTTCTTTATCCAACGACTCAGTCAAACTACGGAACTCACTTCCACTACTGCTTCTAAATTTGCATTAGTAGTCCTTAGTCTGGACAGTTTAAAAGGGGATTAGATGTATTTCTGTAGAAAGCTATCTGCACATACTAATCATGATGGTTCTAGGCTACTCCAGTATTAGAAGCAGGATACCTAGGTACATCAGTTGCTGGGGAACATGAGCACAAGAGTACTTTTACCCTCATGTCTTGCTGGTACTGCTGTTTAGCCACTATACAAACCGGACCCTTGGCCTAATCCACCATAACTGCTCTTATGCCCAAACAGTAGTACAATTCTCAAAATTGTGTCTGAGCTTGAGCAATTTTTAACCTCTGCCCTCCCCAGCCCTTTTTCCTTTTGCCATGTCTTATAGAGAGGATTCCTGAGGGGGGGCTTTTTTATTAATTTGCAAACCACCCTAAGGAGTGGTGTTTGGCTGAAGAGCAGGATAAGACTAAAAGACTAACATTGAAATCCTTTGCAAGTTTAGACAGAAAAAAAGGCCTACAACTCCCAGCATACCCCAGTCAGCAACCGATCTGGAGGCCTAACTGCCCAATCCTATGCTAATTTACCCAGAAGTAATCCCCACTGCAACTCGACTTCTGAGCAGATATTAATAGGACCGCGCGATTGAAAAAGAAAAAAAAACACGGCTAGTAATAATCATTTTAAAGGGCCTTATTGCCAGACTCATTTTGGACTAAACCTGCCATCTCGCCCCGGCATTGTGGCCTCTTACTAGGAATCATGGGAAATGTAGTCCAAACGCATCTCCAGAGGCTCCGTTGGGGGAAGGCGCTCTATTCCCTCACAGGAGAACCCACCCTGCCAAACCACCACCATCCTCGTTTTCTCCCCCGCCCCAAGCGACTACTTACCCATGAGGCGCAACAATGAACCCCCACAGCGCGGACAGCAGCAGGCGCCATCTTAGCGCCATCGTCGCTGACAATAGTGCTTCCGCCTCACTTACGGCGCTCTGGCAAGGCATGCTGGGAAGGTCCATTAGCGCGGGCAGCACAGGCGCAACGAAGCCCTCGGGGCCTGTTTTAGGGTAGAGTCACTAACGTTTCCTGGAAAGACTTCCGGTACTCAATTGCAGCTCGAGGGAGCCGCCTCGTGCGGGGAAAGAGTGGTTAGTGGATGCAAAGAAGCAAGGTAGCCTGGTTAACTCAGAGGTCAATTGGGGCTTCGAATCCACTGAAGCTTTTATTTACACGAGCTATTCATGGCATCGATCCATGGCTTCATCCCCCCCCCAGGTAGTTTCGTACTATTCACCATGAATAGTTCCCACAGAGCTCGGAAGAAAAGCTGCAATGGATGAAGAACCGCACTAATGCAGAAGTCATCAGTGTCTGGTTAATACCAAGCGATGGCTGAGATTGGCTTCCCTTTGATGGCCACCTTGAGGGACTGATTTATTTGTTGGCACTATTCTAACCCTACCCAGAGAAGTCTGCACATTAACAAGAAAGCCTCCAACCTCAGACTTACAATATAAAGGGCATGAAACAAAAGGAAAGGGGAAGTAGAACAAAACAAAAACAAAACATGTTGAGTTTTGAGGCTCTTATAGGTAAGGGGTTCTTTTTCCCCAGGCGACATGAAGAATCTCCCCGTTGTTGTTGAACACGGTATGGTGTTCGGTTGGATTTGGTCTTGCTGTGATGTTTGCCCTGGGGTTGCAGCCTGCCAGTGGCTCTCGCTTCCCTTTTTGACAGATGAGGCCAGTCTGCAGTCTAGGGAACTGGCTGTTGCCACAGGGTAGCACGAATATCTAACAAATAAGCCTCGTTTCTGTCATCCAGATGAGAGGGCAACACTTCTCTCCCTCTCTTGAAAGGATGGATGGGGGCAGCGGGGACAAGGCATCATCTTAGGACATGGGTCCTCAAACTATGGCCCGCAGGACAGATCTGGCCCACCAAGGCCATCCATCTGGCCCGTGCTGCCGTTTCCCGCCCGCACACATGCTCGCTGCGTGGGCAAGGAGGTGGCGGCTCGCTTGCATGGAGATGGCTTTGGACTCGCTGGGAGATCTCCGAGCAAGCGATGCCGCCTCACCGGCCCACAACAGTCACCGCAGCCTTTCAACTGGCCCCCTATTCAAAAGGCTTGAGGACCCGTCTTAGCATGACTATTGCGATGCGTAGGAAGCAGTACATAGATTTGGCCACTGCAGGGCGCCGAGATTCATCGCAATTGTTTTTACCGGCCTGGAGATCAGCAGGGCGCAATTCACAGTCGTGGCCACAGGAGGGCACCATAGACCCACCTCTGAGAGCCAACCCGCTACATCGGAAGCGTACGGCCGTTTGGTTGTCCGCGTGTTAACTGGGATCGATCCGGAAACTGCAGTTCAGATTACTGGACACCAAAGGGCACCCCAGTTTCGAGCTGCATTCTAAACTGGGCTGAGGGGCCCAGTTTTTATCACTGAGACTTTACTGGGGCTGTTGGGATCAGAAGGCTGCAGGGTTGCATGACTGGCCACGAGCGGGGCACCCCCAACGCCTGCACTGAAGTTTGGTTGTTTGTTTAGCAGACTTATATGCTGCCCCACTCACCGAAGCCTCGGGGCGGCTTACAAACATAAATAAATAAATATCATTAATACGATTATATAAAGTCGGAGGCATCCTGGCCAAAATTGTTAAAAACCAATAAATAACATCAACAATTAAAATGACGTTTAAATAAAAAGGTCTTGGCCTGGCGCCGAAAAGCAAATAACAACGGTGCCAGGCGGACCTCTCTGGGGAGCGCATTCCATAGATTGGGCGCCACCGCAGAGAAAGCCCTCCTCCGAGTGCCCACCCTCCTAATTTCTTTCACAGAGGGTTCCCGGAGAAGGGCCTCTCCCGCCGATCTCAGGGGGCGGCTGGGCATATAAGGATGTAAGCGCTCCTTCAGGTAACCAGGACCCAAGCCGTTTAGGGCTTTATAGGTCATTACCAACACCTTGAATTGGGCCCGGACTTCAATGGGAAGCCAGTGAAGCTGACGGAGGACTGGAGTCATGTGAACATAACGCCCAGTCCCCGTCAGCAGCCTGGCAGCAATATTTTGAACCAATTGAAGTATCCGGACCGTCTTCAAGGGTAGCCCCACGTAGAGCGCGTTACAGAAGTCTAGTCAGGAAGTTACCAATGTGTGAGTCCTGTCGCCAGGCAGTCGTTCTTCAGGTAGGGATGCAGCTGATGGATCAGCCGAAGCTGAAAGAAAGCGCTCCTCGCCACCACTGTCACCTGAGCTTCCAGCGAAAGCTCTGGATCGAGGAGCACTCCCAAGCTGCGGAGTGCAGTTTTAACAAGGCTAATATGATCAACTGACTCCAGTCCACTGAACAGGTCACCGAAGACACCCTAATTTCGCTTTAGGGGAAAGGGTATCTTAGCAGCTTCTCCCTGGTCTGCTATTTTTCTACATTCAGGGGTGATCTTGAAAAATGTAACCAAAAGTGGTGTCACCTAAATAGAGGTTCACCACAATTCTATGATTTTTTTTGACAGTGAAATACTAATCCAGGTTGTAAAACTGCTTTGGGAGGCTTTTGAGAGCAGAAAAATGGGTACAGAAATTAAAACAGCAACAAACCATACCAGAGTGTTCATGAAATCTTATGGCAAAATTAACTGATTAGTATTTAAGGTCAATGTAAGTTTCCTGCTTCTTTCTGCTATTATTATTTTTATGTATTTTATTACATTTCTATACCGCCCATAGCTGAAATTCTCTGGACAGTTTACAAAAGATATAAATACAATAAAATATAATAGCTAAAAACAACTAAGAAGAGTTTAATTTAAATAGCATAAAACATTGAAACAGTAAGGTAAAGACCTTTTTATTTAAACATCATTTCAATTGTTAAAACATATGATCTGGCCAGGGCAACTTCTTCTTCCTTCTCTTTCTCCTCCTATATTTTTATTTTATACTGATAATTTTAATTTTGTATTTGTAAATCAATGTATTTTTTGTATTGTTATATTA